GCCGTGTCCAAAATGAAGGGCAGCTGCAGCGCACACGACTTTCGTTCCATGGTCGACAGCTTTTGGCGGGCTTTACGGCGCAAATACTTGTCGCGCTGGCGGTCGTGCTCGAGCTCTCGATTGTCGGCGTACCGCTCCCGCATGCGTGCCAAGATTGACGCCCGGTTTCTTGCATAATAGGCTCGGTAACGCGAGCGATGCGCCTCGACGTCACTGCTTGCGTCGCTTCCCGACATAGAAATGAGCGACGAAGGACTTGACCAATTGCACTCTGGCTGGCTTCTTTGCGAGCGAACGTTGTTGCTGTTGCTGCCATTGTCGCCTTACCTGGTACAGCCGCACCCATCATGACGCACCGCCATGTGTTCTCCACTATAGCACATAATCTTTTTATCTTAATATAATAAAAGTCGGAGGCAAAGCGAAATGAATGAATTTTATAGCGAATCTAAAAATCCTCACCTATCGGTATTTAATGCTACGTAGTTAATTATTGAGGAAAACCTCTACGCATCTGGTGCTGTGGTGCCATCTCTAGACGCGTCGCTAGTCGCTCTCCGTGACGACCCGTACAATATCGAACCACGACCACTAAGCTCCTTGGTGAAGCACCGGCCACGCCTCACGAGCGCTTTAGGAAGTCCACCATATTTTTTATAATTGCATGTAATATAACTCAGTTCAACAACAACTTCGACGCACCTGGCCGGCGCATCCCGCTGTACATAATGATGTTGTGTGAAGTGGTAGTAATAAAAATGATTCGCATAGATATGACACGCTCAACTTCTTGCCTCCTGCGCCATCGGTGCCATCTGGCACCAGCCACCCATGGACCATGGGTGGCTGGTGGTCTGAGGTTCGTTTTTGCGGTCGAAAGAATCAGCAGCAGAGGCGCTATACTCATGCAGCTGCAAGCCTCCCGTACCGGTACTCCGATTACAGGCTAAACCACCCTCCACATTATTTCACTGGCGCCACACGCTGGTCGTTGCGTCGATACCTGGGTTTCTACGCTGAACCGAGCCGGGAGCAAACAGTGGCGGTGGTGGGGCATTTAAATTGAAGGCAACTCTTCTATGTCAGCACCCATGGTCGGCAGATATATGGTCAGCAGCACCAAGGAATGATAACGATCACGTCCCACGGACCAGCCAAGGGTGTATAATAGATGTATTATCATGATGTATTATACCGTTATACCCTTTGCACCAGCGCACCTAGCTAGCGCACCCATATCGATGACGAGTGCTTGCCGGCCGGTTCGAGTTCGCGTTCGAGTGAGATTCAGGAGGTGTTTGCCCGGACATGGTTCAAGGTTCAAGTTAAGGTCTTGTGGTGCAGTAGCGGTATTGCGAGGAGTGCTTTCAAGGGGAGCCGTAACCGCGAGGGCTCGTGCTCAAACCACCTCAGACGTGCTACCGTAGAGAGCGGACCAGGCCATCTGACACCGTTGTCGACATCGTCGTCAACACATCTGAGTACACGCCACGGGCGTGTCACGAGGTATCTTTTACCTTCGAATGCCACTCTGCGGTTGTGCAAGGCCGTCAAGTGTAGCGGTTTTTGCTCACAGGTACGCGAGTCTCAGCCATATAAACGTATAAAATGGTCATCAGGTCGACACTGCAAGCTCTTGACTCGGTTGTAGCACGGTAAAATATAACGTTAGAGTCGACAGAGTGCATAGGATAGACTCGTTCTTCAACATCCTGTCTCTTTCTATGGCCTGTATGGTTCGATACGTATAATACTTGACAGGGCTTCTCTTTTACCGGCGCTTTTTCTATATGAGGAAGTCACCTCTCTCCTCATGTAAGGACGCGTCACGACGCATGGCTACGCGACAACTTTGTTCCGGCATGTGCCGTTTACACGCCACGTCTCCCGCTCGGCTAAGCCTCTCGGCGACCTTTTCTAACCGCAAACGGATGCGCAAAGCACAGCCATGGATAGGATCCCGCTTGACTGCAGTGGATTGGTACTTCAACAACAACAACAACACGCTGCTTACGATGTGGTCCCACCCACAACCATACCCAAGTCCGGAATGCCACTGCTGCAACGCGATGGGCTTCACCTGGTACACTGTACCTCCAGAAATCGTCGGCCCCGAGCAAATTGTACCCATCCGATCCTTCGTTAGCACACCAGATGTCGACATCTGAGTTTGTTTACCTTTTGACGTCGTTCCCCTTCTCAGAGCCGTGGACCGCCTCAACGGCTCAGAAACGCCGCTCAATTGCATCCACCACAATTCCTCACTTTCACATTTGCCCAGCATGGCGCACCAAGTGCAAGGCAAGATGGACCTCGAGGAGCGTGTCTCCTACATCCAGTCCAACACGCACGACAAGGACGCCAACGGCGACGGGTACGCGGACGCCAAGACGCCCGGTGAGCTCGAAGACGGCGCGCTCGTCGAGGGCGGTGCGCTGCACCTCTTTTCGCGCGAAGCCTTTGGTCTCTTCTCGCAGTACGGTGCGATCGGTGTCATTTACGGCATGATCCCCAACTTGGTCTACCCGCTCTACACGGTCTACCTCGGTATGGAAGGCTACCAGACCGCCTCGTACGGCGTCCTCGTCACGACGGGCTGGTCGTTCAAGGTCTTCTTTGGCATGCTCTCAGACTGCGTGCCCATCATGGGCTACCGCCGCAAGTCGTGGATGCTCATCGGCTGGACCATCACGATGATCTGTCTCGCGGTCATGACGTTCACGCCGTTCGGTAAGCCGTTTTGTGACCGCCGCTTGACGAAGGACCCCAAGGTGTGCGAAACGGCCACCACCAAGCTCTCCAAGGGCGACCTCGACGCCTTCTTCGACTTGGACGCGCCCAACCGCGGTACGCTCTTCATCATGATGAGCATGCTCGTCTCGTTCGGCTACGTCATTGCGGCCTGCGCGTCCGATGCCATGGTCGTCCAGTACGCGCAGCGTGAGCCCGTGGCCATCCGCGGCCGTGTCCAGACCGCCATCTACGTTGTGCGCACGATGACCGGTGTTCTCTCGCAGCTCGTCATCGCCTTCTTCCTCAACGGCAAGGTGTACAATGGGTCGTTTGACTTTTCGGTCAGCCCCAACGTCGTCTTTGGCATCTGCCTCGTGCCTTGTGTCTTCGTCGTCTTGACCACCATCTTTGTGGTCGTCGAGAAGAAGACGCCGCGTGTCCCGTTTGGCGAGTGGATCAGCATGTTCTGGAACCTCCTCCAGAAGCGCGTCTTGTGGCAGATTTGCGCGTTCCGCTTTGTCAGCAACTGCTTCCAGTCTATGGGCGCGACGCCCGGTGGCCCCATCTCTGCGTACTGGGCCAAAGTCGAGCCGCTCAACGACTCGCTCTCGGCCGTCATTGGCAGCTTGATCTTTTCTGGTATCCTCGTCGTCGTCGGCAAGTGGGGCCTCAACTGGAACTGGCGCTGGACGATCGCGCTCTCGTCGCTCGGTGTGGTTGCCGTTGACAGCTTTGTCATCTTTATGACCATCTTTGACGGGCTCCGCAACCAGTGGTTCTTCACGGGTGTCGCGCTCGCCGACAACGTGCCGGGCGGTGTTCGCTTCATTGTGTCCACGTACTGCGCCGTCGAGATTGCCGACGTTGGTAACGAGGGTGCCACGTATGGTCTCGTCACGACGATCTCGAACCTTGCGTCGCCGTTCGCGTCCGTCATCTACAAGTACATTGACTCGTTCTTCCTCGTCTCGGTCGACAACATCAAGTCGGATACGCCCGAGATCCGGTGGGAAGTCGCGTACTGCTACATCATCTCGTACAGTTGCAAGGTCGGTGCGCTCTTCTGGCTCTGGATGCTGCCGCCGCAGAAGGCCGCCATGCAGGAGCTCAAGAAGCGCGGTGGCTCGAGCAAGCTCGCGGGCGCCATCTTGATCTTGATGTTCTTTGGCGCGCTCTCGTTCTCGTTGACGAGCAACATCATGGCCGTCTTCCCGTCGACCAAGTGCTACCGCATCGCCGGCGGCAAGGGCACGGTCAACGGCTCGTGCATCGTCAAGAAGTAAATCAGTCGCAGATGTATTAGCTGCGCGTGTGTCTCGTGTCGTCTCTTTAATTGCTACGAATGTATCCTTGTGATGATTCATTTTGTTTTGCGATTGGTATCATCGGCCGATGGCTGACTAGTAGTCTAATTCCAGCCCTATGTTGTATAGAGATGATGAAAAGCTCGCTCAACAGCTGTGCACTGGAGGGCAGAAACCGACTCCCAGTGGCATCGGCAAGATTGACATCGTTTGTACCGTACTTGACTTTTACGTCCACGATTGATCGCGCCAAGGTGGTCACCGCATCGGACTCGTGTTGCTTGGTGCCGCCAGTCTGATAGAACAGTAGATACAATCGAGGTATGGCAGCCGAGGTCCCAGGTCAAGCGACACCTCTATATGTCGCGCCAATATGAAGTGAACGGACCAAGACACGGCGGATAGGTTGATCTGTTCTGTTGCCACGTCGCAATACACTTGTACGACATTTCAAGACCAAAGCGGTGCTTTTCTCACTAGACATTATTGTCATCACCTTGACACGATGATGATTTCGTCTCGGTCATGACGGCAACGAGGGATAGCCAGGGACCCCCGACCCGCTTGATGACTTTGGTGGCATCGGCGACATTCTGAAAGTGGTGCACCGCATTGCGCTTGATTTCAACGCTCATGAGGCGGCCAAATTTGATCAAGAAGAGACAATTGACGACGACAACAAGCACCTATAGTTCATGACATATTGTATATATAGATATAGATAGACCTACCCAAGAAAGGTGCGCAGCCAGCCCGTGACGACCGACTGGAAGAGATACAAGCCGCCGTAGAGCGTAAAGAGGCACATGAGGTGCGACATATCTTTGAGGTTGTTGATGAATTCGGCCTCGTACGGCGACCGGTCCATGTGCAAGTAGAGCGCCAGAAACGTCAGGCCCAGCGATTGGGACGGCGTGCCCCAGTTTTTAAACACCGACACGGCGCTCACGAGCACCTTGCGCATCATGACCGTACGATCTCGTCATGCGCGTCACGGACAATAGAGGCAGTTGCACCAGATTTCCCAGTAGTTATACTTGGTCTTGCACCTACAGCACACTGTGAATCCTTCCCCTACAAGGACACGAACCCGTCAAAGAGAGCTGGAGTTTCGTGCGCGGGTCGTCAAGGGTGCTTGTGTAACGTATACAGCCGACGAAGAGCATCCACCTGTAGTGACTGCTGTCGTAGCAGGCCACGTCCAAATCCGGGTCCATGAAAAAGGAGCGTCCCCTGCGCTGTCGACGTCGAGTTGGGTGCACGTAAAGAGCTCGAAAATGACCTTGGTCACACCAGGATGGACGAGGAACATGAGCACAATGACCGACACGACGGTCTTGTCGTGGATCTCCTGGCGCACAGCGGCGATATAGGCAACCTTGATCACGCTCAGTGGCTGCGGCAGCGCAAGGCGCTCGTGCAAATTGAGGAGGCACGTTGGTGACGGACGCGCTTTTTCAGCTGCAAGCACGAAGGTCAATGTGTCGGCGTCCACGATTGGGTCAGGATGCACAGCGAGGAACGGAAGCACGGGTGGTAGCCAGGCAGTTTTGCGAAGCGTCCGCTGCTTGCGGTAGAACTGGAGTTGCCAAATTGCCATCGGTGCCGAAACGCAGATGGTGGGGCCGATCAAGATGAGCTGTTCAAAGTACGTGGGCAAGTGCGAGCTCACGCGGTAGTACCCCATGGCGCACTCGATCGAGATGAGCTGCGCTGTTGGATTCGAGACGGCCGACTGAGCCCTGAACGTCGAGACCACTTGAGACGGCCATTTCAGCCCAAACGACCCCGCTAAACTCACCAGCTGGAGGTACGAGGTCAAGATCTTGGATCCAGTACGTATCGGCGCGTGTATTGGACTTGCGCATGGCCATAAAGATGAGGCCGACGGAAAGCACGGCACAGGCTATGATGCCCCCCACGAGCACGAGGAGCGTCAACGTCAAGTTGCTCATGCACGACGACTTGCCGCTGCGGGTGAAGCCGTCGGCGCACTGGTTGCAGAGGTGCCCATAGGCCAGTGTCCATTGCTCGAGAATCCGCTAGAATTTAAATGTCACCCAGCCGTCCTTGGGACGCATCAAAGAGCGCGTTCGCCAAGCTCTGACAGGTGACCACCGGGTTTGCCAGCGCACCACAGTCAGGATCTAATCCCAACATCGTCCGTCGTCGCAGTTCGACCGCAAGAGAAGCGCGCCGTACCGACGGCAACCGCAGTCGCAGCCGTCGGTCGTGTTGGAGTGAGTGCTCTCGCAGAGCTATCCTTGGAGAATATCACGCGCGATACCCGCACAGTCATGCACGCAAATGCACATGCCGCCCACACAGTTGCCGTGGGACCCCGAACAGCCTTTGGGACAGTAGGCTACGGCACCCTAAATTTAGTGTTGCTGTGTTCGGAACAGCACACCACGTACCCGCCTGCCAGTTGATGGTAAAACCATCCAAAATGCATTTGATTGGCCAAAATGCTAGTCGCGTGGACCATGAGGCTCACGATTGTGCTATTCGTCGGTGTCTTGATCTGCCTTTGGCAGTGCACGCCGTCGGCATAGTTGCCGCTCTGCGGACTTCGGTTGTTGTTGAAGTGGGTCGTCTACTACTACAATAGATAAAACTATGCTAAACTAGGTTCCTGCGGAGTGGGCTGGTAGGAAACCTCATTTTGAGGGAAAGTTGAGCAATGGAGTTGGTGGAAGTGCGAAACACCTCAAGCGTGTGTCTTCCGCGTCGCTCATTGTGTTATGTGAAGGTTGTGAGTTCCAGGGCATGCAGTTTGTGACCGCATCTTGCGTGCTGTCGGCGAAGCTGTTGGCCAGGCTGACGCTGCTTACTGCCTGGAAAGCCAACGTGATGCCGGGTCCGGCACATCGCTGCGGGCGCCTCGTGCAATGTGGCGCTCGAGGAATGCGACGGACATATCGTTGCAAGTGGCCGTTGAAGGCGAGCACGGGGTAGTTGAATTCGAAATTGTCGATCGGTCCCCTTCCCACGACTTGCTGTGGTGGCATTGGCCGATTCAAGTTGTGTTGGCAAGTGTAGCTGTGACGACGGCGCGAGGGTTATACTATCAAGAAACGCAGGCAGATCGTTGGACACGTGGCCAAGCGTGGCGAGGGACGCACATCAAGTGGGATGAGGAGACAACACGGCTGTAAACGGACAGAGAATGTTCTCGCGAGCCGCTCAGCCTTCTGCGTCGGCGTGTCTCTCGCCTTTTGAGCGGCGCGTGCGTTGGCTTTACCCTGGCGCTGCTTTCGGAGCCGCACAGCCTTCTCTTTAGGTGTCGCTCGCCTTTGATGCGTGCATGCTTTTCTGAGATGGTGGTGCACACAGACAACCCCGGCGCAACGCCACAGTCCGTGGCGACATGGCGCCAAGATGGGACACATCGGTTGTATCAGGGAATTTTGACCAATGGGAAGGAGGTTCAGCGACACGCCGCGAAGAAAGTATCTTTTGAATTTCTACCAATCACTGCAGCCGCGGATACAGTTTCTACCAATCACTGCAGCCGCGGACACGGAGACAGACAGACAGACAGACGGACAGACAATTAATCCCCCCTGGGCTGGTGTAACCATAGGTTCCTACCAGTATAAAATTGTCGGACTTTCTTCGTTGTGTGTACTCGGTTGAGGGACTTGATTTAGGCAGGCGGAGGCAGGAGCGCGATCCGCGGGACGAGGTGACGTCGCGGCCACTCGTGTTGGGCGAGGAGCTGGAGAAGACGACAAAGAGCAGGCTGCTCGGGCTCTTGTACGAGGCTGTGGTGCACGTGCAGTTGAGCGACACGTGCCGCCTTGACGGCAATCGTCCATGGACTTGGCAGCGGTAGGTCGGCGCGGAAGACGCGGTCGTTCC